CAAAGACCAACCGCTCGTAGTTCCTCCCTCGCGATGGGGATTCGCCGTCTTCCTTAAAGCCCTTTCAGAAAACTTTACACAGGGCACCTGCCTCCATCGCATTCGTGCATTTTGTTACATAATCGTTCCGTTTAATTCCCCAGGTATACAATTTCCCTGTCCCCTCCTCCTCCACACACACACACACACACACATTCTAGTGGAGATCATCGTATTATTATTAATTCTTAATCAAGCGATGCACAAGCGTCTCGCGGTAGTGACGATTATGAGACTGCATCGCGCGCGATTACGGTACCGGTGACGCTTATAAGAGTGGCATCTGGTTTTGCGTGTGACGGCGGCGTATACAGTTAATTCGACCCCGGCCATTCGTTCGAAAATCCTTTACAACCGGTAAATACCGTCGATCGTCTTATGATTACACCGAACGTTTTACTCGGACACAAAACAGTCCCGCAGACGCGCTACGTGTAATGCGTCTAATCATATCTCACATGCTCGAAACACGCATCCTCGCGATAGGTCATCATACACGCACGAAATCATTGATTATCCGTCAATTTCCAGATCTCTTTCTCTTTTTTGGTTTCCAAAATTTTTTTGATCGAATTAATCTTGTAATATGTGAATCTATAACAAATTCGACATGTAAAATATAAAAAAAAAAAACAATAAAAAGCGACAAAATATTTTATATATATATATGTATACCTTAATCCATATAATTTAAAAAAAATTTTTGTCGCTTTAATTGATTTTCAGCTTCAACTAAAAATTAATTTAAATTGTACTTATAAATTAAGTTTTTATAGTCGTAAAACTATATCGAAACAGAATTTAATAATTAAACAATTAATGTTATATATTGTCAAATTGAATTATATTGCACTTATATTATCAATTATCGATTATATTCCGTGTAGCAAATTGTAAATAATATTATAAAATAATCAAAACTCTTTCTTACACAAAGGCAACCGATGGCGGTGCCGGATATAACTACAAAGAAAAATCGGCGGTGAGAGACCAACAATCTAACCGATTATTGGGTCAACTACTTGGTCTAACTACACGAGGATACGACAGGAAACTGGAAAAAGTGAAAAATTTCCAATGACATTAAAGTCGCATTAGCGAGGATCAAAAGGAAACGAAACGGCTTTCCGGTCCATTTGTTTCCAAAAAATGTGAATTATATGCCAAAAGGACCGACAGTGAATTTTCACGCGGTCTTCTAATTCCGCTTTGTGAAAAAATCTTGCCAGTCTCGCATACTTGTATCATTATATAAATGGTGGGTTCTATTAGTAAAGAACAAAATCGCTTTGTATCTCAATAAAAAAACATTAAAAAACAAGAATGTTTTCATTTTTAAATATGTGAAATTAATTTCTTTTTATCAAGATTTTACAAAAAGAAATAAAAAAATATTTAAAAATGTTTTATATTGAAAATAAAGAAAATTTGTAAATTAAGTTTAGAGAATTATATTACTAGATTCTTATTTTTCTTAAGCATAATTTCATATCGGACTTTTCTATACAAAAGAACACTTTTAAATTTAAAAAACTGAATATAGATGAGATATTCACCTAGGAAACAACGTGCGGTAAGATAAAAGTAGCAAAAATGTTGAAAAAAGAATATCTTATATATAATATGAGTAAAGAAAATATTTTCGCTTCGCATAAAACCGTTCTTTAATTAGATCAACGTCCTGTGTATCGATATGATCGTCGTTCCTCGACCGGATATGAACTTTCTCTCGCGCGTAGGGTTTTATAAAGATATTAACGAAGGGTCGTTTTCGCGGTAAACGGCCATAAGCAGACGCGCGCAAAAAGAAGCAGCAGATCGGTGCTGGTTTTGGCGCTGTCTAAGACGCCTGAGCCGACCACCGATCGTACGATCGATAACCCGGTTAACCCCACCTCGGTCTGTTATTATAATATTTGCCGAGCCGAAATATAGTGATTGCTTATTTGCTCGGGCCCAATTACGTTCAAGCGCGCGCCGGCCAAGGGCCCGCGCTACGTGACGAGGGATATATAGCGGGATAGGTACGAAGAGGGAGGTGCACTTGTTAGTCCCGAACGAGCCGATCAACCACCCACTCCGTATCCTATTTACCTGCCTCGACTAACATCGGCAACGTTGTAACGATTAGGTTCGCATGATCAGATATGGCGAGCGTGATGTCTATTATTGCGGAGAACGTGTTACATTCAATGCATCAGCGATATCGACGATTTTTCCGTGAAAAATCCTGAATGTTTTGTCTCCTCGTTATTACAGAACCGAAACGTGGTGTGAAATGCGGAAATCGTAATAGCCAGTGTTCTTTTTGCATTTCTGTTCAAATGTTAAAATTAAATATATACAATATATGTGTATTTTCGATTACCTGACATGACAGCTGATGACAGTTATGATGAAAGAATAGATGAATTAATACGTCGCACACATTCTCAAATATTCTGCAGCATAACCATTTTCAAGATTGCTGTATTATGATATATAAAAACATGTAAATGCTGCTTGCTTCCTATGTTCAAGTAAAAAAGAGATGAGTTTCTAGATTCTTTTATGGTTTCCATAATTTCAACAGGCCATCCTCGCTGTAAGAACATAACAGATTTTGATGAGGATGATGTGCCAGGCCAATCACATCCTTTTCGTGTATCTAAAGAAAGAACCAAATACCATTAATCGCAAAATAAATGTACTTTCTGATCAAAACATCGAGAAATACTCACATTGAGAGTTCTTTCGAGTTTTCCTGATGACGTAGAAAAACAGTACAGTACAAGATCCTCACCAACACAATAGATAAATTCGCCACGCGGGCTCACTACTGTACATACAAAGTCACCTCCCTCTCGTTTACCGCTCGAAAACGATCTTACTATTTGTCCTTGCATATTCATAATTACTACTGTATTAGAACGATTGCATACGACAAAGTGCTCTGGATTCCGAGGAAGGGGATGTACGCTGTTGACTGTGAGATCAGCAGCTCCTAACGATTTATAAGTTCCTATGCATTCGGTAGTCTTCAGACTCCAAATTTTCACAGTTCCATCTGATGATGCACTATAAGATAAAAAATGATACTGACACTTGCACAGAAATGGACATAAATATTTTCTTTTTAGAATAATGTTTACAATAATAATACCTGATTATATTATGACCATCTGGAGAAAAAACAACTTCATTAACAAATGAAGCATGACCACGAAACTCCTTAAGAGTTTTTCCGGACTTAAGACCATGTATTCTGTAAGAAAAAAGAATAAATGTAAATATTATATTTATTGTTGAAGTCTATATTTACCATTCCTTTCTTTGCTTTACCTTACGGTAGTGTCAAACGAAGCCGATAAAATTTGACTGTTATCTCTGCTGAATTGCAAGCAAGTCACACCTTTTGAATGCGCCTTTTCAAATCTTCTTACACACTGTCCGTTTTGCACTTTCCAGACCTTAACCTTGCCATCCTGACCACCGCCCGCCAGCATCTCGCTGTCACGACTAAACGCCATTGACAGCACTGCTTGCTCCATCATCATAAAATTGTCTTGCGCTTGATACTTCAAGTCCTTCCTAATTTTACCAGTTGTAAAGTTCCACACCTCGATAAAACCGTCTACCGAGCCGGTCACCAAGAACTGACCATCGGGCGAGAAACGCGCGCACTCCACATGCGATTTCTGACCAAATTTGATTTGCTTTGATAACTGTGTCGGATATTTTTCGTCCTCCTGATCGCGCACCGCCGCTTTTCCGCGAAACAAGTCTATCGTAGTACCAGGAGGTAACAAACCCTGATGTTGTTGCCACTTCAATGCTTGTCCCAACAAAGCGAGCAATCTGCTAGAGGGTACTACTGATACTTCACCAGCAAGAGCAGTAGCTATATATGCTCTTCGCTTTTCCTTTGTACTTCCATCGGGATATGCTTCGCGCGGATCAAAATACGAACGCGCAAGTAGATTTTCTGTAAAGGAATGTATGTATGATATGATAAAGTAATATTTTATAGTAATTACAATAGAATTGCTTTTTTTAACAATATATTGTATGTATGAATATAATATTATATACCTAAATGAATGTATCTCTCAGGCTCTTGCTGCTTCATCATAATCATGGGATCAGTCTGCCTTAATAAGGAACGTGCTGCACCTAGTTCTCGTAGTTCAATTAATTCTAGAACAACCTAAGAGAGAAACAAATCTGTGAATATTATTTCATAAAAATAAAATGTTATATTTCTTATACAATACTTTATAGATTAGAGATTTTTAAGAAATTTAGAGAAAAAGATTTATATATTACAATTGAATATTTTAAAGGATGTTAAAAATTGCACTTTTCGTGCGCAGGTAATATCCATTTTACTTTTATACAAATTCATATAATCTAATACCTGTTCATATAAGTCTATAAGTTTCTTATCAGGTAACTTTAATGACTGTATAGCTTTCAAAACTGTGTCCCAATGGCCATTATTTATATCAGCAACGAATCCATCCACACTGTCAACAGTATTCAATGATACACCTGTTTCCTCCTGCGTATAAAATTTATTAGAAAGCAAGTAATTTAAATATCTAGTTATAAATTAAAATGTCTAAATACCTGTAAAGTTTGCAGTGTCTTTACGAGATTTGCTTCCTTAAGATATTGCTGTATCAATCTGATCACACTGAAACATAATGAGGTTATTGTATGGCACAGGTTGCAGTCATCATATTACTTTACAATAATCAGAATAAATTAAGATAATTTTACTCACTCGGCAGATTCAATCTCGATTGACATTTTGAAATATTTTGCAGTTTATAATACAAATACTGATTGTGTGTATGTGTATAAACTTGATACACAGAGCCAAGCTTTTGAATGCGCCACTGTCGACACTATCAACGCAGTAATATTGATCAAGTATTGGTCATCCTTGATAGATAGCGTTGTGATCGACGTATGTGTGCCAGATTCTCCTCTTTACCTCAATCTTTCTTGGTTAGCGTAGCATCAATAATATATAAACTGCATAAATAAAATGCGGCTATTTAAAATCTGCTCTTTGATAATGTGAGAGTCAAGATCTTTAATCGGGCCGTGAGTACCTTTAGAATATATTTGTTTTTTACTTGTACCATTAATTTTACAATTATGAAGAAACCGCTTTAACGACTCACAATATTTCCACAAAAATCTGTGTATGAAATTCGATTTAATTTTTCCCATATAATCTCGTTTAACTACTGTTCTCTTAAAAAATGTTAGCATCTGGACAATGCAATTATTGATCGCGTTAAATACAATTTGACGATAATATTGGAATATTTTCAATGGCAATTTAACTTGTAACTTTTATTTATTTTCAGAGCTTCAGAATACAAATTTTTATATTTTCTAGATCAAAGGTCCATTTTCCTCTAATCATGAAAGCCACTCTTCTGTTCATAATATTGTTTCAAACATGGATCAATATGGTTCAACTGTGTCCACAACATTGTTCATGCAAGCCAGTTGGTGCTCAAGCCGAATGGTTACGTCTTAAATGTGGTGATCGTTTACAAGAAGTCAATGATGTGGATATCAATGCAGTCAGCGTGGAACTTATACAATTGTATAATGCTGTTTTATACTTTCCATATGTATCTTTAACTTATAACAATATGGTGTGACAATAACTGAATTTTTTTTTTCAATTACAGAGACTTGAGCAAAAATGCCATTTATATCATTCAAGCAAATGCATTTGTAAATTTAACAAATCTTAGACGGCTTGATTTATCAAAAAACAAGATTAATTCTATAGGCGAGGGCTGTTTTAATGGCCTAGAAAATTTGGAGAGATTGTAAGAATACACTTATTGTCCGTAAGTTTGCTTTAATCTTCTTTAATTTCATAAAATGTGTATTTTCAGAGATTTGAGCCAGAATCAGATATCGACAATAGACAGTTACGCATTCAAAAAATTATCAAATCTTAAAAAACTGTAAGTCTACAGCATATAAAAATGATATATAAATGTTTTTTATAAAGATATTTCTTTTTATCTTATGTATTCTTTGCTTTTATTGCTCTAGTGATTTGTCTGGGAATAAAATAACTGCTCTGGTGCCATCCTTATTTCATAATTTGCTGGCTTTAGATCGCTTGTAAGTTAAAGCGCGATTTATTTATGCTAGTATATATTAGTTTTAATAGTGGCTTTTCAGGGTGCGCGTTTTTATTATATGAAAAACTATTCCATATTATTGTATGGAAAAACACTTTGCTGTATTCCATAAATTTATATTGCTATATTTTAGGAAATTAAATGGAAATAGTTTAACTACCTTGAAAGAAGGAACGTTTCATGGACTTAAGACATTAAAACAGCTGTTAGTAAATCAATTTGTATATATTACATTCATTACAATAATTTGCATAAAATCTAGAATGTAATTTGTATTTCAGAGACCTATCTAATAATCCCTGGAATTGTAATTGCGACCTATATTGGTTTAGTAATTGGATCTCCAATTCTTCGATTAAATTGAAGTAAGAGTATTGCATATTGGGTCAATCATTATATACTTACATTAATAATCTTTATATTCAATTTAACATTTCAGTCCCTCGCCAAAATGCACATTGCCTAAGCTTGCCAAAGGACAACCTGTGAAGAAATTAAGATTTTTGGAAGAGCTCCAATGTCAATGGATATCACCAGCAATTGAAATTCGACCGATGCAAAATCAAGTTGTTTTCGCTGGAGATTCGATTACCTTAAAATGCAGAGCGCCCAGCATTACAGTAGACCAAAGTGCTAGATTGAATTGGTTATGGTATCCTAATGCTTCCGCAGAGATTGTGGATCTGAGTGCTTATAAGGATCCGCGAAAGAGTTTACCTAACATTAAGATTGACAATAGGTATCTTTCAGATAGCGGCATCGTGGATAGGTAATACAGAGTTTCTCAGATTATCTTAAAGTATTATATATTGAATAATATCAACATCTTTTGTATTTTCTCAGTGCCCTTAGTATAGTTCCAGTTAAAGAGGAACACAATGGACAATGGAATTGCTTATTGGTTTCTGTAAACGGCAACAAATCCAAGGCAGTCAGCGTAATTGTGATATCCGAGCATACGCGTTATTGTCCTCTAGCAGGTAACGAATTGTTTTGTAGCATAAAAGAACTACTAAAAATACCGTAAATATTGTTTTTTCAGTAACAAGAAACAATAAAGGCGTTTATACGTGGCCGAAAACGATTGTCGGGTGGAAAGCGGAACTGCCATGCGAAGGAAGTCGTTTGTTGCAAGCACCTTTAACAGCTTCTTATCACTGTAACGTGAGTGGTCAATGGGAACACTTAAATACGGAATCATGCCCATATGTATCTCACACAACGAAAATCTTGGAACAATTTTCAAGAGTAAATCTATCATTGGCGAGGAGTACTCTGCTGGAAACTGTAAAGAGATTCAAAAATTATACGGGAAATGGCTCGGTAAAGTTAACAGATCCGGTTGAAATCCATTTCATAGTACGAACCATAGAGAATTACTTGAGCTTCCTGATAGACGAGAAGGAACTTGGACTCATGCTGATCGACATTGTCGGTTCGATGATGAAATTGTCGAAAGAGATGCTGAAAAGAGCGGAAATAGGTTTCAAAGCTTGTACGAGACTGATCAAAGCAATTGAACGTATAACAGAATTTACACCGTCCATACAATCTCACACAAAATATATGGCTCTCGAAGAGTTTCGGGTTAAGCGCGACAGTTTTGGCGGATTAACATGCACGTGGTACACAAGTATTGCTATGAATATCGATTCAGACGCGAGATTTTTGCACTGTACAACAATTAACAGAACGACGCCGATTAATACAAAAGATAAGACAGTAGAAGCTTCTATTCAATTGCCCGCCTCCTTGCTGCAACGCTCGCAGGATAGTGCGATAGCTCAACAGCTCATGATATCCATGTATAGCGATAGCAGATTATTTCCCAAGACGATTTCAAACGATAGCATGGACATATCAACATGTATTGTCGGCAGTAAACTAAGTGAGTCAAAAACCATACTATGTGGAATGATTTACATGACTTACATATATATAAATTTCTTTACGTAAAAATGTTTCGCAGTTGGTGCATCAATACGAAATCTCTCCGAACCGGTTTACATCATGTTGAAAGCACCGTTATATCATTACAACGGGAAAAGACCGAGACCAGTAGTATGGGATGAAATGTTGAATAATACGGGAGCTTGGACCAGCGATGGATGCCGTTTAATAAACCTAGTGAATAACTTGATAGTCTTTCATTGCGACAGATTGGGTTATTACGGACTTTTGCAGGAAGTTTCACATCTTGATATAGACGGAAATAGGTACAAAGCTTTTTTTCTAGAGATATCCTGTTCAAGTTTCCTTCTCTATCGTCATTTTGCTATTACTACATACTATTTTTACAGTATACACGGAGCGAAATTCAGATATTCGCATCCGGCGATATACATAGGAAGTTTCGTGACGATAACTTGCTTGATGATCATGTCCGTTACATACATTATTTCGTACACATCTATCACAATGCCTAAGAAAGCGAAACACTCTGTTATCAATACCTGGTTCGCCATGGCACTACTATCATTTCTATATAGTATCGGCATTCAACAAACAGAACATATTGAGATTTGTCAGGGTGTTGGCCTTACTTTACACTATTTGTCTCTGTGTTGTTTGTTATGGATGGCGGTATCTGCCAGGTAAGTGTATATTATGCATTTAACAAAGAAACTATATTTCATGAAAATGAGAAAAATAAAAGAGAAGAGAGTAAGAAAAAAATAAATTTTAAATAAGATAAAACATGAACCACGAGATTTCATATTGTTTTAGCAATATGTACAAAAAACTGGCGAAATCAGGCCTCGATGTGATACCCGACGATGATGTGGATCCAGATCAACCTATACCCAAGCCTTTGTTAGGGCTTTACCTGGTCGGATGGGGTATAGCTTTAATAATCTGCGGAATATCCGGCGCGATCAATCTACGCGAATACGCCGGCTACTCTCGTTGCTTCCTTACATCCGGACCGGCGCTCGCTGCGCTTTTCATACCATCTGGAATCTTAATCGCGTATCTGCTGATCTTTCTCTTGCTCATCAGACGTGCGATTCAGAATGTCGATGTGAACGCGCAATTATCCGAAGGCACTCAGGCAACGGAGAATATGGATTTGGAGTTGCTAGAACCGAACCCGAATCCCTCCGGGGATAGGAACAGTGTGCGCAGCGCGCAGACGGTTTCCTCCGACATCGAGGATCCGGAACACTCACAATTTACGCAGTGGAAAGGTCAAATCATAATGCTAGTGTTATACCTGATATCTTGGGCTGCCGCGGCCGCAGTAACAATCAAGCCATTGAATTCCATGCCATTCGAGGAGACCATATTCGCCGTGACATACGCCATCACTGCGAGCTCGCTCGGTATGTTCGTATTGTTTTTCTATGGAATCGCTCGCAACGACGTTCGCAGCCAATGGTTGAAGATGCGCTGCTGGCTGGAAAAGCGAAAGAATCGTTGCTGTCGTACCAGAAGTGTGTGCGATGCTAATGCCGCGATTCCTACACAACCTTTGGTGCAGAACTTCGTCCCGCCATTGTCAAACACACAGGCTACTCAAGCGATATCCGACACGAATTCCGTTGCCTCGTCGAGAAACACCAATCAGTCGCAACAGATCTACAACTGTTCAAAGCTCGCGGACTTTGTGGCCGCCAGTCGAGACAACGTTCCCACTGTTCCTGTCAGCGCAAAAGCAGCAAATCTGATAGTATTGCATCGTCAACAGTATCGCTCCAACAATTCCGTTACCACGTACACCGAGCCAACATCGGCCTGCGTCGAAATGTTCTACAATCCTCATCAGAGCGGGGTCGCCAGAAAATTTTTCAAAAAACAACGTAGACACACCGCAAAGAAGAATAATCTTGGTCCGAGAAAGCAGGGCGATGGCGGGGCAACCAGCGATGGTGGCAGTTGCATTTCTGTACCTCGGCCTGCAGCGAAGATCAACAATAGCCTGGAACGCAGTATTTTGAGCAGCAGTGCCAAAGTGAACAACACCAATATACACGTCGAACTGAATCCCATAAACGATATAAAAAATGTGAATATACTATCGGATAGTGGTGGTAGCATCTCTGAGGAAAGAAACATCCCGATACGTTTCGTTATCGGCCAGGAGAATCTATTGCGTAGCGTCAAGAAGATTAACAACAGCAGTGCGCGGCAAGACAATTCCGTTACGATTGAAACATTACAACCAAAGAGAACAACACATGCGGACTCGGACGCGGATGTTTCCAAAACAGATGAGGAATGGCATTTACGGAATGTCTCTCAGCAATGTAGCTTGGAGTACAGTTCCGAAATGGATACTGTCACACAGATGACCAGTGAACGGAGCGATCACAATCTGCCAGAGATCTGCGAAAGCGCGGAGGAGTGTTTCTCAAAGAGATGTTCCAGCGATGTGAATGAGATCGAAGACGTCGCGGAGGAACGCTTGTTCCTCCGAGGAGACACAGCGGGACGGTTGTATCTTTCCAATAGTATGTACTGCCTACCGTTGGCGCACGAGAAACCGTTGACAAACAGCTACTGTAACTCATTAAATGACATCATGTCGCTGAAGCAGCACTACCAATACTCGAAGCCATCGCTTACAGATGTACAGAATACAACCAGTTCAAATCTGTGCGGACAAGATGCTTCCGAATTCCGACGATCGTTCGATCGTTCGGAACGTTCGCTCTTTGAGATAAACAGCTTGACTAGTGATAATCCGTGTACATTAACGCCGCGTGTGGAAACTCCCTATGCCTGTTCTTTAGCGAATATTTATTGTATCTCCGACAAAAGTTTAGAGGAAAACAATCTCCGCGAGGAATCGCAATCGTTAGACGTAGTAGATAATAACGTGTTTAACGTACCAGAATCCAAGGATCTTTTACAGGAGAAAAATTTTGGTTCTCTTGCTGATATTCCGTCAATTAGTAAGTCCAGCTCGCATGATACTAATAATTTCAGTTTAATCGGTGAAACGAGCACGTGTTTGGAGCCTACAAAATCGTGTGATATACAGCAGTTCGAGACTAATGAGATCTATTTGCATGAACAGGTAAGCCATTTACCTGTTAAAAAAGAAACGAGCGTTTAATATATATAATAATTTCACTCGCCTACTATAACGACGTGTTTATTTTTTTACGTAACTTCATATAGATTGTGTAATATCTGGCATTTCGTGTATTCATTTGTATTATATATATGTATATGAAATTGATTTTTACTAAACTGTGTTCAATACGTCTCATATATTAAAACTTGTGTATTTTTATTATTTATATCGTATATTTAAAAATACGATTATTTAAAAAATTTGTATATAATAAAAATTAAATATTCATATACATACATGAAATATACTTATATATGGAATATCTTTAGCCACACAAGCTTGATGGTTCATTTTAACTCAATGTAAACATTACATATTAACCACAACTGTATTTAAAGGGATTTCAGTCTGTTAAAGAAATTTGATTTAAAAGATTTGGATAAAAAAAGAACAAAACACTAAGTGTTTAAACGCTCAATTTTTACAATATTATTCGCCATATATCCAGAATATATACTCTTAAATCTATCACATGAAAACATGAGTATAAAATTATTTTGGCTGTGAAACATTTTCTTTCGATCTTATTAATAATCTCATCTTTCAATAATTGTCATACTTGAGCAATATTTTACAGTATTACAATTATTTTTTCTAATTTTTTATGTATGTTTGTATTTTTTATGATATCTAAAGTTAATACAATAGTAGAAAAAGAGAGATAATACTTGCTTTGTATAACTGCCTAATATAAACTGAGAAAGATATATAGGAAAACAATATCTGTAAATCGAAGACTGAATATTAAGGAAATTAAAATTATGAGAGAGATGAATATGATTACCACATCGACTTCCACAATATATGTATATCGTAATTATATGAAAAACTTTTCTTGGCTATGATGCCAGGTACTATATTGTAAATAGTATTTGATTAAGTCTCTAGGATGAAGTAGTTCGTTTAAAGTGTAGTTCATATGTAAGTTAAAGAGTAGCTCGAGAGATTTTATATATTTCTTTGTAATATTATTATATATATTTTGACTTTTATATATATTAATTTCTTAACAAATTATAAATTTGAATATATGTATGATTGTACAAGACCAGTTATTCTAATTATACATGTATATTGTACAAAATCTCTGTGTTTATTTTATACATGGTTATTTACAATATATTTCTACAACATCTGACATTTCAAGGAAGCACCATATCCACATAACTGATATTGAATATGTTAATGTTCAAATTTCGAACATGAGGTATATAATGTAAATTCGTATATCTATAAATTCTCAACTCTCAAAACTGATACACTTCTGTTGTTTTTGGATCTCGATCATGTACTAAAATAATAATCTATATATATTTATAATATTACCTTGCACTTTCTCATAATTGTTCCCAATTAAAGATCATTGATCATTGATTGATTTTGAAATTACGTATGTTCAACCTATTCGCCTACTCCGTCCGACTTTGTTCCACCCAACCAATCTTTCGGATTTCTCAGTACCTCCAAAAGTTGCGACTCCTTTGAGCCGACTTCGGTCTTGTGCATGTACTCCCATTTGGCATTCAAGGGCAGGGACATGAGTATGCTTTCGTATCGCGCGCCAGGTGTATATAGGCCAAACTTGGTGCCTCGGTCGTAAATTAAATTGAACTCGACGTATCTACCTCGTCGTAATAATTGCCATTGTCTCTCCTGATATCCGTAGCCGTCGTTCCTGTGTTTCTTCACCAAGGGAATATACGACGGAATAATTGCCTCGGCGCACGAAGTCACGAATTGAAATGCCTCGTTCTGACCTGGGCTATCGAGGTCGTCGAAAAATATTCCACCTACGCCGCGCCGTTCCTCACGGTGTACGATGTAAAAGTAATCATCGCACCACTTTTTGAACTTGGCATAGTAGGCAGGATCGTGCTTGTCGCACGCGGCTTTCAACGTTCCGTGAAAGTGTTTGACGTCCTTCTCGTCTAGGTAGTACGGAGTAAGATCCGTACCGCCTCCGAACCACCATTGAGTAGTACCGTCCGGGTTCTCTATCTCAAAGTAACGATAATTGAAATGGATCGTAGGAATCATGGGATTGCGCGGGTGAATTACAGCACTCACGCCTGCGGCGAAAAACGGCACCGAATCTTCCATCTTTTTGCCACGTGCTCTCATCTGCTGGATTGCATTCGGTGGCAATATGCCAGTCACCACGGAAACATTAACACCCGCTTTTTCAAATACTTGTCCATCTTGCAGCACGCAAGTGATACCACCACCACCCTCTTTTCGGGACCAGCGATCCACTTTGAAGGAGGATCCATCGTTCTCTAACGATTCGAGAGCTCTGCAAAAATCTGCCTGCGTTTTCATCACCAACAGTTCCATTTTCGTTCTCATCTTATCCTGATTATTCTGCAATTCTTTAACAGCAGTGATAGGCTCTGCCATAAAGGTTTTAACATAATTGTGCAGATTATTTTGCGCTGCCAGAACTGTAGTGACGTTAGATACACTGTATACAGCAAGCCCTGTTAAGATTCCTGTCCCAATATGTTTGAGGTGCTTTGATCTGTTCCATGTATAACAGTTAATACTGACGGAATGTAGGTTCCTCCAGTTCCTTAAAATGATATTTGTAGCCATGATTTTTTATAATTATCTATATACCAATCTGTAACAAAATTTGAAACTTTATTTTTTTGCGGGATTTCACACAAGATATTCTCACAAATATATAATTCAAAACAGTTTCCCGATTAAATACCAGATCATTAGATTAGATTAACGATTAACATTCATGATTAGAAAATCGTAAAAGGCAAAGATAAAAAACAATGCATACCTTTTGTGTTTTAAATAATTCCTACTACTTGTATATTTAATACTTATCTAATATTATTAAGAATAAAATTAATTTTGTTGATTCTATATTAAAAATCTGCACATATTTCAAAAAGATAATACTGAAATTTAAAATGCTCAGTCAGTTTTACGAGGTTAAAAGCTCACTCGGTAAAGCAGTGGGTACATGACTGAGAAATTTCACATATCTTTCGTGGCGCGCAACCTGTAAAATTTTTTTTTTTTTAAATAACATTTTGCAAAAAAATTTTGAGAGAATCGAACTGAATCCCATAAACGATATAAAAAATGTGAATATACTATCGGATAGTGGTGGTAGCATCTCTGAGGAAAGAAACATCCCGATACGTTTCGTTATCGGCCAGGAGAATCTATTGCGTAGCGTCAAGAAGATTAACAACAGCAGTGCGCGGCAAGACAATTCCGTTACGATTGAAACATTACAACCAAAGAGAACAACACATGCGGACTCGGACGCGGATGTTTCCAAAACAGATGAGGAATGGCATTTACGGAATGTCTCTCAGCAATGTAGCTTGGAGTACAGTTCCGAAATGGATACTGTCACACAGATGACCAGTGAACGGAGCGATCACAATCTGCCAGAGATCTGCGAAAGCGCGGAGGAGTGTTTCTCAAAGAGATGTTCCAGCGATGTGAATGAGATCGAAGACGTCGCGGAGGAACGCTTGTTCCTCCGAGGAGACACAGCGGGACGGTTGTATCTTTCCAATAGTATGTACTGCCTACCGTTGGCGCACGAGAAACCGTTGACAAACAGCTACTGTAACTCATTAAATGACATCATGTCGCTGAAGCAGCACTACCAATACTCGAAGCCATCGCTTACAGATGTACAGAATACAACCAGTTCAAATCTGTGCGGACAAGATGCTTCCGAATTCCGACGATCGTTCGATCGTTCGGAACGTTCGCTCTTTGAGATAAACAGCTTGACTAGTGATAATCCGTGTACATTAACGCCGCGTGTGGAAACTCCCTATGCCTGTTCTTTAGCGAATATTTATTGTATCTCCGACAAAAGTTTAGAGGAAAACAATCTCCGCGAGGAATCGCAATCGTTAGACGTAGTAGATAATAACGTGTTTAACGTACCAGAATCCAAGGATCTTTTACAGGAGAAAAATTTTGGTTCTCTTGCTGATATTCCGTCAATTAGTAAGTCCAGCTCGCATGATACTAATAATTTCAGTTTAATCGGTGAAACGAGCACGTGTTTGGAGCCTACAAAATCGTGTGATATACAGCAGTTCGAGACTAATGAGATCTATTTGCATGAACAGGTAAGCCATTTACCTGTTAAAAAAGAAACGAGCGTTTAATATATATAATAATTTCACTCGCCTACTATAACGACGTGTTTATTTTTTTACGTAACTTCATATAGATTGTGTAATATCTGGCATTTCGTGTATTCATTTGTATTATATATATGTATATGAAATTGATTTTTACTAAACTGTGTTCAATACGTCTCATATATTAAAACTTGTGTATTTTTATTATTTATATCGTATATTTAAAAATACGATTATTTAAAAAATTTGTATATAATAAAAATTAAATATTCATATACATACATGAAATATACTTATATATGGAATATCTTTAGCCACACAAGCTTGATGGTTCATTTTAACTCAATGTAAACATTACATATTAACCACAACTGTATTTAAAGGGATTTCAGTCTGTTAAAGAAATTTGATTTAAAAGATTTGGATAAAAAAAGAACAAAACACTAAGTGTTTAAACGCTCAATTTTTACAATATTATTCGCCATATATCCAGAATATATACTCTTAAATCTATCACATGAAAACATGAGTATAAAATTATTTTGGCTGTGAAACATTTTCTTTCGATCTTATTAATAATCTCATCTTTCAATAATTGTCATACTTGAGCAATATTTTACAGTATTACAATTATTTTTTCTAATTTTTTATGTATGTTTGTATTTTTTATGATATCTAAAGTTAATACAATAGTAGAAAAAGAGAGATAATACTTGCTTTGTATAACTGCCTAATATAAACTGAGAAAGATATATAGGAAAACAATATCTGTAAATCGAAGACTGAATATTAAGGAAATTAAAATTATGAGAGAGATGAATATGATTACCACATCGACTTCCACAATATATGTATATCGTAATTATATGAAAAACTTTTCTTGGCTATGATGCCAGGTACTATATTGTAAATAGTATTTGATTAAGTCTCTAGGATGAAGTAGTTCGTTTAAAGTGTAGTTCATATGTAAGTTAAAGAGTAGCTCGAGAGATTTTATATATTTCTTTGTAATATTATTATATATATTTTGACTTTTATATATATTAATTTCTTAACAAATTATAAATTTGAATATATGTATGATTGTACAAGACCAGTTATTCTAATTATACATGTATATTGTACAAAATCTCTGTGTTTATTTTATACATGGTTATTTACAATATATTTCTACAACATCTGACATTTCAAGGAAGCACCATATCCACATAACTGATATTGAATATGTTAATGTTCAAATTTCGAACATGAGGTATATAATGTAAATTCGTATATCTATAAATTCTCAACTCTCAAAACTGATACACTTCTGTTGTTTTTGGATCTCGATCATGTACTAAAATAATAATCTATATATATTTATAATATTACCTTGCACTTTCTCATAATTGTTCCCAATTAAAGATCATTGATCATTGATTGATTTTGAAATTACGTATGTTCAACCTATTCGCCTACTCCGTCCGACTTTGTTCCACCCAACCAATCTTTCGGATTTCTCAGTACCTCCAAAAGTTGCGACTCCTTTGAGCCGACTTCGGTCTTGTGCATGTACTCCCATTTGGCATTCAAGGGCAGGGACATGAGTATGCTTTCGTATCGCGCGCCAGGTGTATATAGGCCAAACTTGGTGCCTCGGTCGTAAATTAAATTGAACTCGACGTATCTACCTCGTCGTAATAATTGCCATTGTCTCTCCTGATATCCGTAGCCGTCGTTCCTGTGTTTCTTCACCAAGGGAATATACGACGGAATAATTGCCTCGGCGCACGAAGTCACGAATTGAAATGCCTCGTTCTGACCTGGGCTATCGAGGTCGTCGAAAAATATTCCACCTACGCCGCGCCGTTCCTCACGGTGTACGATGTAAAAGTAATCATCGCACCACTTTTTGAACTTGGCATAGTAGGCAGGATCGTGCTTGTCGCACGCGGCTTTCAACGTTCCGTGAAAGTGTTTGACGTCCTTCTCGTCTAGGTAGTACGGAGTAAGATCCGTACCGCCTCCGAACCACCATTGAGTAGTACCGTCCGGGTTCTCTATCTCAAAGTAACGATAATTGAAATGGATCGTAGGAATCATGGGATTGCGCGGGTGAATTACAGCACTCACGCCTGCGGCGAAAAACGGCACCGAATCTTCCATCTTTTTGCCACGTGCTCTCATCTGCTGGATTGCATTCGGTGGCAATATGCCAGTCACCACGGAAACATTAACACCCGCTTTTTCAAATACTTGTCCATCTTGCAGCACGCAAGTGATACCACCACCACCCTCTTTTCGGGACCAGCGATCCACTTTGAAGGAGGATCCATCGTTCTCTAACGATTCGAGAGCTCTGCAAAAATCTGCCTGCGTTTTCATCACCAACAGTTCCATTTTCGTTCTCATCTTATCCTGATTATTCTGCAATTCTTTAACAGCAGTGATAGGCTCTGCCATAAAGGTTTTAACATAATTGTGCAGATTATTTTGCGCTGCCAGAACTGTAGTGACGTTAGATACACTGTATACAGCAAGCCCTGTTAAGATTCCTGTCCCAATATGTTTGAGGTGCTTTGATCTGTTCCATGTATAACAGTTAATACTGACGGAATGTAGGTTCCTCCAGTTCCTTAAAATGATATTTGTAGCCATGATTTTTTATAATTATCTATATACCAATCTGTAACAAAATTTGAAACTTTATTTTTTTGCGGGATTTCACACAAGATATTCTCACAAATATATAATTCAAAACAGTTTCCCGATTAAATACCAGATCATTAGATTAGATTAACGATTAACATTCATGATTAGAAAATCGTAAAAGGCAAAGATAAAAAACAATGCATACCTTTTGTGTTTTAAATAATTCCTACTACTTGTATATTTAATACTTATCTAATATTATTAAGAATAAAATTAATTTTGTTGATTCTATATTAAAAATCTGCACATATTTCAAAAAGATAATACTGAAATTTAAAATGCTCAGTCAGTTTTACGAGGTTAAAAGCTCACTCGGTAAAGCAGTGGGTACATGACTGAGAAATTTCACATATCTTTCGTGGCGCGCAACCTGTAAAATTTTTTTTTTTTTAAATAACATTTTGCAAAAAAATTTTGAGAGAATTAGATTTTGAGGATCAATCAATTTAATTCACACACAATAACTTCAAAAAAATTCAGTAACATTATATCTCTTAACGGGTAGCAGCATCTACTTCATAGCAATATTCTTATTTTTCTGAATTCGAAAATATTGTTTCATCCACATAATAATTAAACTAGAAAAGTTATTTATACAATTTTGTGCTTTATATATTTATTATTTCCAATATTTATATCGGATAGTGTCTTCATCGAAATATGTATTAAATTTTTTCCAGTCTCGTCTACGTTTAGGATTCTTTCGGCTCCATTTGGGGGCTAAGTTTGGCATTAAGCCTAAAAGAACAAAGCAAGATAATTATCATTTTTTAAATAAAGCAATATATGATATATTTAAAGTAACACTTGCAAACCTGCTTTCTGAGCCATAGCTACCAGAACAGAAATCCTTTTTTGTTGCACATCGCATAAACCTGTTATTCTACGTGGTAGTATACAGCCATCTGATCGCAGGAATTGACTTAGTATAAGAACATCCTGTAAAAGATAATAACTTTAAATTAGCATTGAGAAAATAGAACAAAATATTTCACCCTAGAGAGAACTCACCGTGTGCTTAACGTCAAGTTTTGTGGCACAAAGGGGACACGCATTGGATTTCAATTTCAATTGTAGGTGTTCCTTCTTGTGAGGTACGTAATGACCTTGGATGGTTAAAACATTATCTTCTTTCTTCTCGATTACTGCGTTAAAACATTAAAATATGACTAAACTTATAGCAGATCGATATATTGGAATATAGGTTAGGATCATTTCAAGTTGCATTCCCTATTTGACAAGTGGTGTGTAACAAACTCACTTTCTCTTAAACGTGCCGTTGCAGACAGTGATATATTTCGATTAGGTTCGGATATCATTAAACTTTTTCCAAATTGTCTTATATATCGATATAGAGTCGCCATTTTTACACACATACACCGACAATGCCGACAAGAATATTACCGGGATTGGTAGTTCGTCATCTGTCAACGTGGCGCTGCTTGTCAAGAACGAACGCATCGCGTTCGGCTCGACTCGGCTTGGTTCGATTTCACTCGGTTCCGAGGGTCTCGTTTCGAGTCCGATCGTGGCAGGTCGGGGTCGATCGACCTCCCATCTTCCATCCGTGGAGAACCGGCAAGTGGCAAGTGTTGATTCAGGATTCAGCAGACGAAAGTAGACCGTAGACCTGCGTAGACCGTGGCCGAGTGTACACGTACAATATATCGCGCCGGTCGGTTTACTTTTATTCGCGAACGAAAACGACGCACTATATCACGAGAGGAAGAGAATGCGCGTGTGAATACGTAGATATTTTTAAAATAGCGTCGGGATAGAATTGTACATCCGAGACTTCGCTACGCACAACCGAGATACCGTGGAATCCACGCGGGAGCTATAGTTGTCATTGTTGGCGACGTTTTCAGAGCGATTTTCCGCGGTTCATCGAGCGATATATACATATATATATATATATATAGGTATGTATATACAGAGTTACGTATATACGTTGCGCGGCCGAGTTATTGATTTTTACCTTCGTGAGAAAAGCGTGTAATCGCACACACACATACATAGAGGTATTCGTTGACCGGTTCGTGTGACAACACATCCGCGTGTGTTGTCTTTTTAATCAGGTATCGTTGATGGTTTAGTTTCTTCTAAGAATACATTCGAATACCCAGAAACTACAATTGATCTACGCTGCTTTTGATCGCGCTTTGAAGCGATTTTTCTTTTTCTCCCTTTCCTCAAAGTATTTATATGTTTGTTTATCAAACTTTTATTTGTGAATTTCAAAGGAAAGATATTCTACATGCCAATTAATGTCGATTGTAATTAATTAAATTATTGTCGTCCTTGTATTACAGTTGTTCTGCTATTGCAATCTAAAAGAAAACTTTAATCAGTCTAATATTTTAATCGTTGATAATCGACGACAAATTTATTGCATCTGCTAATTAGCAACTGTCAACGTTGAAAGTCTAGTAGAGACCTTTCGTATTAATTTTCTATGCAATCATTAATTAATTTTTTCGTCTTCTCTTTCGACAATTTTTGGAACAAATGTCATTATATATATATATAGAAAAAAAGAGATGTAAATCAGATTTAAAATGTAAACAAACATTTTGATAAATAATTTTTCCAACATTCTTTACCGAATATTTTGATCCGTGCAACTACCGACGTTTTTATGGTTTTCAAAAATTTTTATCTATAGGTATATGATGTGCTTTAATTATTAGATTCTTATAATTAAAATTCTAATAGAGCAAAATACATATTGATTGCGCCGATGTAATAAAAACTATCGTTTTTTTTTTTTTAAAGCACACATTCGAACTATCGTTATCAAACGCGTTGTAAAGATTAAGAGAAAGCATTATCAATCAGGTACATACGTTTGAATCAAGTGCATCTTTTATGGTAAAATTAATGTGTCATACAATTTGTATGTGTGTGTGTGTGTGTGTGTGTGTGTGATCAATTTCATCATATTTATATATCTACTGATATAATAGAAAATTGTGCGAAATAACCGAAAATATGAGACATAAATCCAAAATCAGAGCTTACATGTAAATTCAAGGTTTAGTTATTTTTTTTTATTTTTTTATTTTTGAACAGAATGAAAATCTAGTCACTTTTAAAAGCAATGATATGTGTATCGATATAATTTATCTAACAAATTATATTTGCACGATATAAAAGAGGGAGAGAGAGAAGAATTCTCGCGCGATTCCTATATTGCATTTTATCATCAACGGTGAGCCTCGATAAGCAGGAACTCCCGTTTCCATAATCTCTCGTTTCGCATTACATAAACATACATTTGATACGAATGTTGTAACAGAATGATTCATGTGTGATTAATATAAAATTTATTCAATATATCATGCGAGATTCTCGTTCTTTTAAGGACAAATTTATTTTAAATTTGTTTCGAAATATCTATAATTTAAAATTATAATTCAAGATGTAAATGAGAATAAAACAGGTGTTCGCTATGCCAACTCGCAAACATGGCATCAGTTGTCATTGATCGATAGCGTATGCTCAAACATTTCAAGCGCGTCCTTGCCTCTCGTGAATTATCAAGATGCTCTTAACAGCCAACACTTTTAACTCTACTCTGTTAATTTTTACAATGTTAAAAAAAAAGCAATTATTGCGCATGAACATAAAACGATAATTGCCGCGCTAACGTAATTTCTAAAAACAACTTAACATTGACATTTACACTGGTTTGATGTACCAGTATTGATTTATCAATCATTTTTTCTGTTTCGGAAAAAGTTGTACAACTCCTCGAGCGCAAAATTATTCTTGACAAAAGCTTAATTTCGTCGTCGCCTGAAATATCTCGGCTGCAACGGTATTTAATTTCAAAATTGCACGTCTGGGTAACAGGGACGAATTCGAGGGTCGATTCGAATCCTTGGTTTAGAAAACATCATCGTAATCGCAGGTGCATAATTAACGACGGTAAATAAGCGCGTTATATAAATATGATTCGCATCAGGGAAACGGAATCTTATTTAAGAATTAGAGCATTTGTAAGGAATTATTACATCATTAATATAAAAATTGGAAAAGGGGATTAGGAACTAAAAATCCGGAATATTAGATTTAAAAAAATTTTTGATAGACACCTAATTGATTAGGAAATAAAAAGCGACTTGTGTACGATATATCTAGGAAAACACACATTTATCGCGACAGATAAAATGCAAATTTTTACTGTAGAAATAAAATGCTATCATATTGTTGATTGACAGATTTAGACAAAGTCCGCTGAAAATTTTCGCGGAATATGAATCACCTCGCGAGATTGTTTTCTTTAGCCTTCGCGTGACTAGAGATCGCTTTGACAAAATCGGAGGGGGTGGCGGCGGAAATATGGTGATCACGTGTACTTAGAAATCGTTTCCGTTATGTTTGGTTTCATACAGTGGCACAGGAGAAAAAGACGATGCGCCGCATCGTTTTCCCCGGCGAACCGGACTAGAAGCGAGAGAGAGAAAGAGAGTGCGCGAATCGATAGCGCACGATTTCGGTGGTGTCGGGTCAGCTGCTCTGGTGTTTTCCATCCCCGATCTCGGCGAACTGTGCATTTTCCCTTCCTGCTTCTTTCCTGGAAAAATCGCGGACTACACGATAGGCAGTGCGGTGCGGTGCGCTGCTGAAGAAAGCCACCCATTTCCGCGATGAGAGACACCGGTAACCAGGCCAAGTACGAGCAGCTCTTGGACGACGCCGGTCTCGAGATCCGCAACGACGAGAAAGAGCGCAACGACGAGAATGCGACACTGAACGAGGTGAGCTCAGTCGCGGATCACGTGAAACGCGATTTTGCGATCCTAGACAACATATGTATAGGTAATACATCTTTATATACATGTATCATGTATGTATGTATGAAGAAACGATTATGACAATCGCAGAGAGAAAAAAATGAGAATCCTATATCTTCATTTTCAATAATATGTCCTTTTTTTAAAAAGCAACAGAAACAACGACGAGAAAGAGCGCAACGACGAGAATGCGACACTGAACGAGGTGAGCTCAGTCGCGGATCACGTGAAACACGATTTTGCGATCCTAGACAACATATGTATAGGTAATACATCTTTATATACATGTATCATGTATGTATGTATGAAGAAACGATTATGACAATTGCAGAGAGAAAAAAAATGAGAATCCTATATCTTCATTTTCAATAATATGTCCTTTTTTTAAAAAGCAACAGAAATATCTAGGTATATCATACTTTTAAATATACATGTCTTTCTTTGTTCTCTGTGTATGTAATTATATGTATATATCTGAATCTGTAATTCTCTTAAAAAAAAAAAGATTATACAAAATACAAGAAAGACTTGGTTTTACTCGTTATTCTAGTATATTTTCTTTCGTCACTATATAAATGAATTGATTCGATAAAAACGAATCAAACGAACTTGTCGCGAATCAATTAAATTCTAAGTAATTATATTAAATTTGCACACAATTCATATATATAATTATTCGTATCTATAACGTAATACGAATATTGAGTAAGTAATACGACAGATATTGTTGGGGAGGGGTCAAAATTCGCTGAAGTAGCACGTGTTGAAATGTTTTAATATCGATTGACTGATTTAACACACCTCGTATCCGAATCGTAAGAAAATTTTACTAATTTTACTTTGATTTTGCGAATAAAATGTGAATTCATAAAAAGAAGGAATACGATCACTCTTTCGAAGCGATCAATATATTTCTTTTAATCGAGACAATCTCATAGATTTTATGACATACATTGCATATATACATATAAGTGAAACTCATATGCGCAAGGACGTGCAAATGAGAGCATTATTAATAGTTTGTGCAAACAGTAACGCATACATACTCTAATAGCATCCGCATGATAAAACGCAAAAAGTGACATTCATTTTTATGTCAGCAAATAAAATGCGCTTCTATCAGTCAGCATTTTGAAAATCTGCTAAAATGACATTATTAATAAGCCCATTCGCTTTAATTGGCACTTTTCTTCTCTCTGTCTCCGCTTCAAAGTCCGACTGAGCTTTCGTATTATTTTAAATGCAGCTATAAATTTGTAATAAAGTCACACAAACATAACATAATATTCACAATAAATCAAAGTGAAATATAAATAGCATTGCATTCGTTTTATCAGTCATTTTGCCCGCGAGTTCTTCAAGTCCGTTCATTTTAGCTGCATTCTTTGCGATATTATATTTTATTATTTTTCGTAGAATTTCACGCAACCAAGTTTGAGAGCCTGGTATAACAAACGTATATATACATATGTGCACAAGCATTGTTCCCACATATGATTGATTTTGCAGGAAACTGAAATGGGATTAAAGTACAGCGAATAAAAAGAAAAAAACCGATAGAAAAGCCGATCGATTATTTATAAAATCGCGCTTGTTCCGATACAAGATTGCGAACGATAGTTTATCGATTCGACGCACAGTGTGATAAGTGAGCGATCCGAGAAGAAATAATTCTTAATTTGATAGATAAATTTTTAATTTTTATGTAATAATTGCACGACTAATTATTTTGATTAAATAATTATTTAAATTAGTTCCTACATTACAATAAATAATTATTTCGAATTAATAAACAAATTTAAATAATAAATTAATTAATTCGAATTAATAAACAAATTAAAAAAATTAATTAATTAATTAGAATTAATAATTAAATTTGCGAAATAGATATACATATATATAAAGTAAGTCTTATTATCTATTATTTTAAAAGTTATAACGCGTATTCTCAGATGGCTTTTCCATTTTATAAATTCAATATATAATTATGATATATGAACGAAATTATATGTTATGAATCAAAAAGGACGATTATTTACAATAATTGTATTAAAATGTCAAACAGTACTTGAGCGCTTCTACAGTGTGATATAATAAAATTGTCTTCATATATGTGTTAATTATATGTAGAATAGAATGTATTGTTAATAATCAATCTTAAAGAAATTAATTTGCAGATCGCTCATTTGTCACTTATCACACTGTGCGGCGTCGCTACACTACACACATACGTATACACACATACACACGTAGCGTAGAGCGTAGAGTGTCACGAGGAGTCGATGAGTCGCGCAGTGTAATGTAATTCTCGTTTACGCGGTGATCACTCGCAATTTCGTGCTGTTATTTCACTTCTCCTCTTATCTGATATGCCGCTTTTATGCCAATCTGTTCTGTAATTGGCGTGTGAATTATGTTATCATAATAATACCGATATATTTATTCAAAAAGATGCATCAAAAGACTAATATTGAGCCGCCGCTGTGAGGTTAGTACTTAAGCGTTTTCGTTATTTCATTTCGTCGTATATACTCCTTACTCGATATATTCGGTCGAAAAAGATATTTTAGGCCGATCGTATCATAACTTCCCTGTTTTCATTGCTTTATTGTTGGTTTTCTCGTTTTCTTTTCTCTTCGCGATTTTGACAGCATGATGTGTGAATATGATGATACATTTTTTACGCAATTGTAACAATGAGATAACGCGCTAATTTAACATTATTGAAAAGACAAAAACGATAACACGAGCGCATCGCGACATATGTGTATATAATAATATAATTTAAACAAGTGAATTTCACATTTTCTTCCACTTGCCCTGTATTATTTGAGAAGTGGTTTCCACACTTAACATCTTTACCCTGCATTAATTTCAACTTTATTTAACTTTGTTTTGACATATGTTTAATACATATTCTAATATGTTTTAACATCAAGGGTAAAGACCCCGAGATGTGGTTGACGACCGCCGAATCAGCTAGTCTCGGGGCAGAGGAAGTGGCAGCTAGATTGCACGTTGATGTGCGAACAGGACTCACATGGCAAGAAGCCGATCATAGAAGACAGTTGATAGGTTTCAATGAGTTTACTGTAAAGGAGGAAGATCCACCATGGAAGAAATATATTGAACAGGTATGGATGAATTTACTTTCTATTCACTTGTTTGTTAAATATAAGGATGATCGTAATTTGAGAAAAATATAAATTAAGTGAGTTTCTTATGTTTCTTAAATGAATTTTTTATATATAATATTTCTTTTTTAGTTCAAGAATCCATTGATTTTACTCCTACTTGCCTCAGCATTTGTCAGTATATGTATGAAGCAATTTGATGACGCTGTCAGTATTACTGTGGTAAGTATATTTAAATATTTTATTAATCTCCATCCCTTCCAAGAACTTTGGCAGACATCATCTAACCATCGCTTATGTTTGTGATGTTACATTTCTTTGTAGGCTATCATAATAGTGGTGACAGTTGCATTTGTACAAGAATACCGATCGGAGAAATCTTTAGAAGAATTGAATAAATTGGTACCACCAATATGCCACTGGTAAATAGATTCATGCTTCTTATTAAATGCTTTAATAACCACTCATGATTCAACGATACAACAGTAATAAATATATAGTTGACCTTGAGAGACAGCATGTATTTAAATTCACAGTATTCTTTAGAAATATGGTCTTTGGAGGATATACTAATCCTTTATATATTCGAAGCATTCCTCTTTTTCTGTTAAAGTAAAGAAGATACAATATGTCGTTTCAAACTGTATAGAAGGTGAAATTTACTTTTATGAAATATCTTATATAAAGTTCTATATTTTAAATAAAAGAAATCTCAAATAAGAAAGACAATCGAAAAGACGTTTGCTAGAAAATTTATAACTTATTTTTAAAGATTTTCTCAACATTTTACTTTATTACATTAATGCATATATTTTTACATTACCGTTTCATTCCGACATTTTGCTTGCAGCTTAAGAGAGGAGCGCGTAGAGACGTTTCTCGCACGTAATTTAATTCCTGGCGATATTGTGTATTTAAATATCGGCGACAGAGTACCTGCCGATATCAGAATATTTGAAGCTACAGATTTGGCGATTGACGAAAGTAGTTTTACCGGGGAGACCGAGCCGGCGCAAAAATCGACGGCTCCACTGCTTAAGATCAATGGATTGACGTCGAAGAGAAATATTGCCTTCATGGGCACTTTAGTACGCTGCGGAAATGGCAAGGTAAGTGTAAGTTAAATCTAAAGTCCTTACGGCGGTATGACTGCGCTCTACCATTAACTTATGTTACGATATCGCGCGATACAGGGAATTGTAGTGAATACGGGAGAAAAGAGTGAATTTGGGGAGGTTTTCTCGATGATGCAGGCCGAGGAGGCGCCAAAGACTCCACTACAGCGAAGCATGGACATTTTAGGTACACAGCTGTCCTTCTATTCGTTCTGCATTATCGGTATCATCATGCTGTTGGGCTGGATCCAAGGTAAGGCTATCCTTGAGATGTTTACCATTGGTGTAAGCTTGGCAGTGGCAGCTATACCGGAAGGCTTGCCCATCGTCGTGACTGTGACACTGGCATTGGGAGTGATGAGAATGGTCAAGAGAAAAGCTATTGTGAAGAAATTACCAACTGTTGAGACTCTCGGTAAGTTGGAACATCATAAAAATACTTGAAAAATTATTTTATTCTAGTCTTAATAAGGATTGGTATTTATGCGTAAAATATAATAGTTTACCTCTATGTGTTAACAATGTAAACGTAAACTGTGTTTAACATGACATCTATGTCAACAATGAGTAATCTATGAAATATGGTTTATCACGACACAACTTTAATATTTTACAATGCTCCGAAAAATCAACAAAGAATTTAAAATATGTTTCTACTTGTATAAAACTGCAAATGTATGTATAGAGATTTATTTTATTTTTAGGTTGCGTAAACGTGATATGTTCTGATAAAACCGGTACAATCACGAAAAACGAGATGACTGCTACAATTCTCGTGACATCGGAAGGTTATATCGCGGATGTTACCGGAGCAGGATACAACAACGTGGGTGAGGTACGCGTTCGGAAATGCGATAATACTGATCTCGCTCGTGCCGCTATCAGTAACATGCTGGAAGTGGGTTGCGTGTGCAATAACGCAATCATACAAAGCGATACCCTACTCGGACAACCAACGGAAGGCGCTCTTATAGCCGTGGCAATGAAATTTGGAATGTACGGCGTCGCCGATAAGTATTTACGACTGCAAGAGTATCCGTTTTCTTCTGAGCAAAAGATGATGGCTGTGAAATGCACGCCGAGGTTTAGCGAGGTAAATTTAAATCGGAAAGCTACAATCTTTCTGGTTATATCATAACCGGAATAACTCTGTTCCTACCCTTAGAAAATATCAAGTACAAGCTTTACAATTTTATACAATTTCAGAATAGACAAGAAATATACTTTGTGAAAGGTGCTTTAGAGAAGGTCTTGCCACAATGTACAAAGTATTACGAGAATGGTCAAGTGTATCCCCTTAGCCAGAAGAAGGACCAGGAATTCCTGACAGAAGCATATGATATCGGTCAACAAGGATTGAGAGGTAGTATTATCTTTTTATAAAAAAAAATGAATATAATCGAGAATTTTTATAGATTTACATTTTTCCGTAATTTATATACACTTACAAATTTGTACGCTTGCAGTGATTGGTTTGGCGCGTGGCTCCTCATTGCAAGACCTGGTTTACGTCGGTCTGGTTGGTATTTGCGATCCACCGAGACCGAACGTGCGCGAGTCTATCAGTATCTTGATAAACAGCGGCGTTCAAGTGATAATGGTGACTGGTGATGCCAAGGAAACTGCAGCTGCAATAGGTACATAAATAAATAATGTAATATATGTCATATCAAAGAGAGATAGCATTTCTTACATAGTGGATGAATTATTACGATCACAGAATTTTCTTGTAAAAGATTCCATTATTTTGCAGCTAGCATAATTGGATTGGATACGCTGCACAGTCGGTTAGTGTCGGGAGATGAAATCGACATGATGTCAGAACATCAACTGGAACAGTGCATCAACAATGTTAGCGTATTTTATCGCGTGACACCCAAACATAAACTTTGTATCGTAAAAGCCTTACAAAGGAATGGCAATATAGTAGGTATGACTGGTGACGGTGTGAATGACGGGGTAGCATTGAAGAAAGCCGATATAGGCATCGCCATGGGCAAGAATGGCACTGACGTGTGCAAGGAAGCGGCCGATATGATTTTGGTCGACGATGATTTCGGAACTATTATGTAAATATTTTATATTAAATATTTTTTGTCTAACATTTTAGCACATACGATGAATTAATAAGATGATATATTTATATATGATTTTCATCTTTCTTGGTTCTAGCGCGGCGATCGAGGAAGGAAAGGGGATTTTTCACAATATTCGTAATTTCGTAAGGTTTCAATTGAGTACTAGCATAGCCGCACTCTCTCTGATTGCTCTCGCAACATTGATGAGTATACCGAACCCCTTGAATGCTATGCAAATACTGTGGATCAATATCATTATGGATGGTCCGCCTGCTCAAAGGTCAGATATTGCTAAATATCTTTTCGTTTTAAATATTTTTTTTCTGTATGTATGTGTTAGTCTTTTTTTGTATGTGTGTGTCTGTAGCCTTGGAGTAGAACCGGTTGATAAGGATGTTCTGAAGCAAAAACCACGTAACACAAAGGAGCCAATGATCACGCGTCACCTCATAATCAATGTTTTATTGTCGGCTAGTATCATCATTCTTGGCACTCTATGGGTATACAACAGAGAGGTATTTTCAAGAAATAGATATTAGTCTTTCAAGAAACAGGTTTACAATTTTTTCTCTTGTATATATATATGTTTTATTTTCAGATGGTTAATGGAAATACTGCAAGAGACACTACCATGACATTCACTTGCTTCGTATTCTTTGACATGTTTAATGCTCTTAGCTGTAGGTCACAGGTAAGATTCTGCGCGTTTCCAGTTTTGATACTAACAATAAGATGAAGAATCACTATATAGACTAACCTTCTCACTTTTTCCCGTTTTATTTCAGACAAAATCTATATTTACAATTGGATTATGGAGTAACAAAATGTTCTTGGTAGCGGTAACGTTGTCTGTCATCGGACAAATGTTTGTGATCTACTTTCCTCCGTTGCAAAGAATATTTCAGACTGAGGCTCTCACGGCGAAAGGTATTTCACGTGTTTTAATAATAAAGGACAGTCGATACATGTCTCTATACACCGTTTTTATTTTTCATTTTACAGATCTTTTATTCCTGGCAGCATTGACATCAAGTGTCTTTGTGATCAGCGAAATAAAGAAATTCATCGAGAGACAGTTGCAGGGACGTCGCGGCAATGGCCAGTATTACAACAAGTTTGAAATGGACTTTGTATGACAGTTACAGTCTGCCGGCGAGAGCAAGGCGGACAAACATCATAACGAATAAATCAATTATCGCTCGGCGATATCTCGATACATATGCAATCGCATTCGCGTTTATAATCGACACATTTTACTTCTCACTAACTCACATCTACTCAACTATGCTTGCACATTCGTAATCTCGTCACGTATGCAGTTAATACGCGCAGAAAAGAATAATATTCTTTCGACAAAGATTCTATGTATTGATTGCGCAGTGACTGCGGGCTTTTTTCACCGTTTACAAATTATTCGACTCTATTTTTTACAGTAATATATCACACATAGAAAGATAAAACATTTCGATAACAATGTAGTAGATTACATAGACTGTAGCTATTAGATTATATTTCATTATTGTCTCGTCAAGTGAGACTGAATGAATCACCTTATTATAAATGATAGCGAAGGTACTGCACATTCCATGCACGTTTGATAGATCAAAATGACTTTTAACAATATTATATCTATAATATAGTCGTAGAGTGCAGTCCAAAGCAATGTTTGCACCGAATCATTGTATTTCTCTCTTACACACTTTTCTAAATAATGTGCATAATTTTTAAGATCCATTTGTGGGAAGAAACATCGATTCCGCCATTTATTCATTCATTGTCGATCAATTCACGTTTGAAGAGAAGCGAATCATGCAGCATTTTACCGAGTAAGTAAAAAAAAAAAAACTTATTGTAATTAATATCACAGTCATACAAATCGATTGCATTTAAGAATACAGTTCTAATCAGCGAAAATAAACGCTCTATAATGTTCCTTATTAATTCCACAAACTGCGAAACGCGACGTATCAAGAAACACAGTAATATCAACAAGATCATATTTATGCGAGCCGTTTAATTGAGAGTACTTTGGAGTATTAAGTCTTAATAATAGCTGAACCGATCAAGTTCCTAATAGACTTAATTGATAGCTTGAATTCGTTTTAACGAAAGCGAGAAATGTTTTTATTTTTGCTTTACACATCTTTAAACAAAAATATGATCCAAAATTCTAATGTGAATATTTTTATGAAACGTCGCATCGGCCGTTTTGGAGAAATATATCGTTACAAGTTGCAATACAATATTGCGCTAGTGATTGATATATTTGATATTGACCATAATTTCTCAATTCCATAACTTACATTATAATAAGTACATCGATAAATTACAATTCGAGATTATTATCAGAATTATCGTTTAATAGATTTTGGGATTGGCAATCGCAACTGTTATTATGATCTCTATCTACATATGGAGTTAGTAATAAAAAATTTGGGGACATTTCAATCATTGGAAAGCTTCCATTCAAAAAATTCGGAAAGTTCTTGATGAAAAAAATTTTATCGTACCATTTTGAAAACGATTTGACATAAGATACAATAATTTATAATAAAAAATGGGGTTCGCCATCTCTCAAAATTTTTAAATGATCTCGACCTATCTATCCACACACATAAAGTCAGTATAGATATCACGCCTTTGAAATCCATTAATTCTTCTAAAACATTTTTTAATATAACGCTAGTTTTCGAGATATCATTTAGATTAAGTAATTTGAATTTCTGAAGAATACTCGTATATTGTATTATGTAGATATATTCGAATCGATTTTTTGTGAGGAAGGGCATATCAATAACAACATCTATTTTTTAAATGTTTAATACATTTTACATATATACAAGTATATTTTATTTAAATTTCTAATCTTTAGATTTAATAAAAAAGTGAATTTCTACAAGAGAGAGGAATTATACCAATAATTTTTTTTAAAAAAGAGAGAGAAAATTATATTAATGAATTCCTTCAAGAGGACTATAAGTTTTATATTGATACAGCTCTGGTCCACCGTAGCCATATAGCAACTTTCCCTTGCCATTTTCGTCGTAATAAGGATAGCGATATCTTGGCCTAAAAAAAAGATTATTATAACGGTATTCGACGCAGTTTTAACGGCAAATTTTTTTTTCTAGGAAATTGTTACGCTATAATGCACAATTAATTAAATATTTTCTCTGCTTAATATTAGAGGAAATATTGATTAATTTTACTAACATGTTCTACATGAAATATCTCGAGAGATTGTTGCTACTTCACTTACCGTTCGAAATACTGGAAATTAGGCGCTTTAGGTTCCGCGATCGTAGCTGTATTCCCATGGATTTGAACGAAAAAAATGGTAGCGAACACAGTTATAATCAGCCACTATAATTGCATTAAAATTTCAAATAAAGAAAAAAAAATTTATCCTTTTTCATATAATGCATAAAGGAGAGAGGAAGAATTCTATGAAAATACAATGCGATATTCGTGTAAACCTATACATTAAAATAGTAATTGCAACAGAGACGGCGAGTTTTGATCGACTGTTCACTCGAGTGTGACTGAACATTCGCGAGAAAAAGCGAATTAATTCTTGTGCGATTTTAAACTTTTATTTATACTACTTACAGTAATAAAACCCGCCATGGTAGAGATGATAGCAAAGTTTCTCAATTAGTCGTAAGAAAATAATTTTGTAAATGATACAAAGTAAAAGTGCTTTTTTTTTTATTAAAACAACACAGTTTAACAACTTGATACTACAAGATATCGATCACGTCACTGCGTCCGACGTTTTAGTCTTTCGTCAAAACTCTGTCTGAATTTCTTCATTCCCCTACCATCCTAATTCTTTCCCCGACATCTCGACATGGTGAAAGTTCTTGGAAACTTTGTACTACATGCAATGATTACTTCACCTGGAACGATTGCCTGAAATACGCATGTGTGAAAGTATTTGTAAAACGTGATACTTTTCACGACAAAACAATTTCTATGTGCTAAAATACTAAAAAAAAGTAGAGGACTAATGCTAAGAATCATACATTTCGAATTACTTTAAACTGTGCACAGTTGTTATAGTTATAAGTTGTTATAATCAATGACATGATTAAAAAAATATGTTAAAATATAAGCTGTTATTCTATTTAATTGCAAACATGTGATCAAAATTTATTCGGCAGAATTAGTCTGCTCGAAATTCAAAAGTTTTAACAAAAAATTATTTTATGCACAATTATTATTATTAATAACATAATTAAAATGTCATATTGTAAATATTAATTATTAATATATAAATCGCGAAATTGACTTTAGTTTTAAGTATATTTAATAAATTAAATAATATATTAAATATAGAGTATCGTGTGTTGAAAAAAATATGCTGTTAAAAATATCACATTTACTCACTAGTTTCATCTTTCAACTTCTCGCGACCGTTCTTCCATAAATCCATAGTTCCTAATTTGGCTATTGCATATTCTCCGAAACGTCCATTATCCCGTTCGTATTGGATTCTCCTTTGTTTGCCGGCCTCTGGGTCAAAGTCCCAGTATGTTGTCTACGCAATGACACCAATAAAGAAACCACTAAAGTAAAACTATGTCAAGTATCTTTTTATGCACTTACCTCGTGAAAAACAGGTGGACCTGCGACGTTATATTGAATTAAATCACGTATAATCTGGTAGGCTACAGGGTCTGCGGTTGATATCAATGTTTCACTGTGAAGTAATAATGCCATCAGCGTAACAATCTAAAATACAATAAAATGCAAATATGAAGATTGTTGAAGAATGAAATATGATTATTGAAATTACTGTAGATAATCATAAACAAAAAAAAAAAAGTTAATCGTACTTAAATGATCTTATCAAAATTGATATTATTGCTATGTAGTTTATATAAATGTAGTTTATAATTATATGTAGCGTAATCCCAAACTGAATTAATTTTAAATGCGATAAATCATTTTTTCAAATTATCGAGATTAGCTCAGTTTGTTTTGAATTTTTTTTATTAAATAAACTTACCAATATTCGGCTTCGATCCATGGCTCACGTCGGAAACAATATATTGCTACCGCGAAGTGGTACCTTTTCAGAAATCCAATCCGCTTATATGAAAATGTTCTCAAGGTCTATTGTAAGAATGGGAGTGAAAGTAAAAAACCTTTGATCGCGCGTTCAACGCAACGCCCGAGAGTTTGAAAAATCGGGCGTCTCATGAATGACAATCAGTTATTCATGAATCGATTACCCTGCGATCATACTCAATTCGAATCACGAATTTTCCACGAAGCATGGGATAGGAGGACATAAAAGCCGGATGGAATTGTCATTCGTTATTTTCCGATGTTCTCGCAGTAAGTGTAAATCGAATAAAGCATGTATATTGATAAAGTGCTCTTAACGATCGCCTTTTGCGCGGTAAGTGATCTAGAAATTAATACGAGTTAATTCGCTTCAAAGACTTTCTTATTCACTCAAAGAAAATTTTCATTTTATTCTACAATTATATTTTTTACTGAATGACGCCCCTTGTACGTCAAAGTGTTAAATTTTTTATAATTTATTATTAAAATAATGAATATAAATTATTTTAATTAATTCAATTTTTATTACGGGTAGACAAGCGCATGGTGCAGCGATCGAACGTCGACACGAAATGCCAGAACAATTGATTTGTCATCGTCATTTCTCACATGGCCGCAAATGTTGTTCGGGAATCGACTATCAATTTTCATGAGAAAATTCTGGCCGAATCAATTCCAGCTCCGAGAATGGACTAGGAGCGGCGTCGCGAGTTTTCTACGTTTCGTATACTTCGGGAGAACCGGCCAGGGCTCAATGCGCATCGAATTCAGACCCGAGGACGGGCCGCGCGCAGCGGAAACGTATCAACGGCGTTTCGGATATCGCGGAAAGTGGCTCATCGAGCAGTTGGGAAACGGTCTTGGTCCCGATATTCGACTGGGTAGGTTGCAACCTGTGCCCAGTACCTTCCTGACGCCACCTATACCGTCCCTTCAAGGTTGGTAATTTTTTTTTGATTCACAACGCATGCAACGTGAGTGTATACGAATATATGTAATCGATGGAACTGCAAACTATGTTGAATCAGTGAGATAGCTTCGCTGAGTTCTTAAAAATAGAATTAATCAAGTATACATATGCACAAACGACATGTCTATTATTTCGTTATTATTTATTTCGTACAAACGAATTAAGAGATTATTGTTGGATAAATGACGTTATTTTGTGAAAAAAATGTGTTGTAAAATGTCTACAGATAATAAAAATATAACTAGTTATGCGGATGTATTGTTTTGCAGAGATAAACGTATTTATAGTGCCCATACTTTCACGTAATCCACTTCAAGGGCCGTTTGTGTGTCCCATGTGGGATACCAGTTGTCTTTTGCGCGATAAAACTTGTACATCGCCTATAAAAAAAAAATAATAATAATTTAGCGTTGTGTTAAATTTATTTGCCAAAGTATCTGATAAACTAAATAATACTTGGCCCTGTTCCTCGAATGTTTTTAAATTTTATATATAAAAACTTGTGATTATATATTAAATACCATACCTTTGCCTCGGTGTTTCGCCATGGCTTGACATAGCCATTACTCGTAACGAGATCTGGGAATTCGTGAACACCTCCAACAGCGATTCCCAAAGTCAAATATGACTAAAAACGACACCATTATAACTCTCAATGTTGTTACTCAATAAAGTGTTGAGATTCAATAAAATTATGAAATAAATCTATCAATAAAACAATATAATACTTTTATTTTGGCTTACCGGTTTGCCAAATGAACCATCTACAATCTGTTCGCCGTACTGCATTCCGTCGACTTTTGCCACGATGAGACCGCTCT